GGTTTTATTTGATCTGAATATATGGTTTTATTTTTTTGTTGTTACTTTTTGTCTTGTGAATAAGTTAATAATACTTCTTTTTGTTACTAGGTTTTTTGAAGTGTCTCTGGGTTTCTTGAAAGCTATAGAGCATATAATTTGCAAATTTATAATATATGGTTTCAATTTTTCGTTACTGCTTTTTGTCTTGTGAATGTTTACTAATAGTTCTTTTTTTTAGGTTTTTAGAATGTTTTTAGACTTTCTTGAAAATGTATGATTTTATTTTTTCATTGTTGTTTGTTGTTTTGCAAACATGTTACTAATGTTTCTTTTTGCTTCTAGGTTTTTTAAAAGTATCTCTGAACTTTCTTGAAAAATGTAGTTCATATAAATTGTAAATTCAGAATGTATAGTTTTATTTTTATTTTGTTGCTTTTTGTCTTGTAAACATGCTACTAACACTTTATATTTTTTCTAGATTGAGTTTTCTTGAGAACAGGCTATTATATCACTATTGTTAAAGATTATAGGTAATGCTATTTTTGTTAAGTAATTAGGAAAGAGAGCGAAGAAGAAATGATAGCCAAAGCAAAGCAACTACAGGGTAAGTGAAGTGAGCCTTGTTGTATTGCTAAGTATTAACAAACTATATTGAATATAACAAAATAGATATAGAGATGAATATTTGTACAAAGCCAATAGTATAGTTAAAACCATGATACTTAAGATAAATTAAATGATTATTCGAATGTTGTAATAATTTGATCATTGTTACATTAGTAATATTTTTTAATTAATATGTAAATTCTAATAAAAAAAGTGTAATATTACTGTCTTATATTGATTATATCGATTACATTGATCATATGACATAAGGGTGCACTGTAGTGAAAATACACTATTTTATAAAATTCTTATTTTAATTAAAAATTATTAAAAAAAAAATAAATCAGATCAAATTTTTAATAAAAATTTTTGTTAGGGTAAAAAATCAAAACTCTTTTATGTATATCATTAAATCTATTAAAACAATAAAACAATAGAAAAAAGTAAAAGAAAATTACAGTAAAATATTAAATTACTAAAATATTTTAGTACAAACAAATATCTCAAGACACTTTAAACCCAAGCAAATATTGAAAAAAAGAGAGAAACTTTAACAGAAAGCAATACAACTCAAGCAACTTTACAAATACTCTACCCTAGAGAGCATACTCTAGAGGTGCAAAAGATATCTGTAACTATACTAGCAAATGAGGATAATGATAAAAACCAAGAATACAACTGTTATAAAAGAAAAAAGATAGCACTCAACACTACAGCCAACTTACTAACACACTAGAAGTCTCTATAGTACCCCAAGACAACTTCTTTATTAATACTGTCATGCAACCAACCCAATACTCATCAACTAGACACTACAATGAAAATAGACCAAACAAATAATCAACAAGTAGATACATCTAATTTGAGCAAAATTATAGAAGGTAATGCATAACTATCATATAGCAGTATACTCAAAAAATCTTTGCTACAAACAACATATTAGCAAACACTAAAAGAAAATGAGATGAAGTGGCAGAACAAGTGCAATAACTAATAACACAATAAATAAATATACAATTTGATACTGAAAAATAGAGCTATAACAAAATTATAAGAAACGTGACAAAAATCAGATGATTTTTTAGGGGAGAGGGGGTAAAAAATTTAAAATTATATATAAAGATCTGATTAAGATATATAGTAAGAGGGGAGGGGTAAGCCTCTGATAAAAAAAAATCAGGTGATAAATAACACTGCTCTAAAGACACTACAGAATAAAGACCAATGATTGAACTAATTACATATAAACTTCAAACAATACCTACTTAACACAAGCTTCCTCCAGCAATCACTCTTAAATTCAAACATCTTGATTTTAACTTTTTCTGAACTTTTACAAGAGAAACAAAATACAAGCCTATACATCAAATCAAATTCGAACAACTGCAAGCTACAGCAATAGAAAATTACAAAAACAAACACAATATTACTGTAACAAATAAAAAGATTAGAAATCAAATACAGCAAAAACTTAGACAAAAACTAGTAATACAATATCTAACTAACTACAAATTTACTAAAAAACTACAAGAAATTAGCAAACTAGTTAAATATTGTATAGGATTTATACATATAAAAAATGAGTTCAATAGAGATAATATGAAGAAAATTATAAAATAATACCCTACTACCACTATCTAAAATATCTAAACAAATTCTACAAGAAATTCTGGAGTTTCTTCCTTTTTCACTACCAATAAGAAACTAAAATAGACTAAGAGCAATCCTGGCAGCACTAAGACAAATATATATCTTTTCTCAACTACCTGATGCATATTTCATATAGCTAGAACCCTTACCAGATGATCTGAATAACTTAGAGCTAGCAGTAAAAGATTTATTCTCAATTACAGAATGTAAAAGTCTCTTAAACTTACAATACTACAATAGCAACTAGCTGAATACTATACTTGGAAGAGAAAGTTACTAGATAACTATTTTAACTTACTTGAAAAAAAGCAGTTCCTACCTAGCACACCACAAGAACTTAATTCCAAGTTGAGAACACTATTCCTGATAGATATGTCAACAACAAATAGAATATTAAAAGAAATTAGTGATATGCTAAAAGAGTACTACTATTTTAAATATATCCTGAATGACTACTTTAAAGCAAAAACTAGACTACCAAAGGACTCAGAACAAATAAGAACATATACAAAATTCTCATTTCCAATAAAAGAATCTGAGATTGCAAAAGATTTTATTAAACAAATTTCAACAAGATATGCTTTTTTAATATCTTTGCCACCATATTATATGATCACAAATCTTACAGAAAAGCTAGACTTACCACAAGACTCTCATCAAATTAAGAACTTTAATTTAACTAATCCAATCACCTTAGCAAAACAATTAGTATACACAGCCAAACTCTTGCGTCCTACTATTTTTTTAACAGAATACTAGTCTCATAGATTGAAATAAGAAAAAATACAGACCATATAGTTATACCAATACCAAAAAGTAAAAAAAAGACAAAAATAACAATACCTGAGATATTAGAAGCAACTCAAAAATATTTAGAATCAATCAACACAACACAAAACCTAGTAAAAATACCTATTACCAAGTATAAAGATATAAAACCCATACTAAAAAGCTTATACAAAATTTTTTTCTTCACAACAGTACCACAATATATCTTTAATTTACTAGCACTACCAGAGGCAACCTGGAATATCCTACTATAACCAATAATTAACAATGAACAAAAATTTAGTAAAAGCATATATATTGCAACATATAATATACAATGACTTAATGATACCCTTAAATATCAAACATAGATAGAATATTGTCACAACAACTTGAATATAGTTAGTATGACAGAAACTAAAATAGCAGAATCCAGACAATACCTAAGTAATTCTTACTTTAATATCTATACTGCGAATAGCAATGAAATAGTTGCAAAAAAACAAGAATCTAGCATGAGAACTGGTCTAGGAATAATAAAGAATTACAACTATACATATACAACATACAAATTATACTCAGAATAGCAATACTCATCGATTTCTTCTTTCCTTAGAATCAAAAAATAAGAGTAATATCAGTCTATCTCCCAACCAACAACACAAACATCAATAAACAAACACAACAAAAAATAATAAATTGGATTCAATATGCAATAACCCACAACTACAAAATAATAGTTATGTGTAATTTTAATTATGATAAAAAGAAACACAATAAATCGATGACTATTTTTAATACAATAAAACAAAATGGAATCACAAGCCTACTCCAACACTTTGATATATTAACAGCAACATAGTTCTATAATTAACTTAGCAGCCAGATAGATAATATTTATATATCACAAGATTTGGTATCAACAATCACAAAGCCTAAATTAATCAATGCCAAATTACAGTGCTTGACAAAAGTTCCCTGCACCTATATCTCTTCATAAAAAGGTGCTATGACCTTGAAAATTTCAGAAATGTTAGTACATACACATATTAGATTGTGTATATCATTTGAAGATTTTTTAATCACTAGAAATAAATTTAGATGAGAGCCAAAGTTGGGATATTTTTCGTTCAAAAAAATAATTGTATTTAAAAAATTTTAATATATCGTCAAGGCTTAAAGCTAAAACTTTTAAAAATTAATAGATTAAACTTCAATGATTTCTGT